CCCCCTCCCGCGCCCCAACCCTCCTCTACCAACAACATACCGCTCTTTCGAAGCGCTTGTGTTCTAGAATCAAAGGAGACTTTCTGCGGGAAAAATTGCAATTGAGTGGCGTCGACCCACAGAGGGTCTCCGGCAGCAAGCACTTCGTATTCACGGTATTGGAATGGAACTAGCTTGCAACTGAGGCTAATGCTGGGAGTCTTTTCAAAAGCAAATGACAATAAATTCAACTTGAATACAATAACGGTAAAATACCCTCCAAAATGAATTTGTGAAGCTGGCGCTTCGAACATTAGAGAGTTTGTACTGAGCAGAGCTGTCGACGCTCACTCACGGGGGAACGTAAGCCTTATAACCTTTCTACGGCGGTTTATGCCTTTATGGACCATATTCGTATTCTCGGTATAGGACTGCACCTAGCTTGCAACTGAAATGATCTCTGATGAGCCAGGAGCCTCCACTCCAAGTCAGTTCCAGTCCAATATATACCGAGAATACGAATCTAGACTGTTTACCTCAGTTGATAAACTGCTACCTGCTTTTCTTGCCTGCTGACGCAGCATGGTAGTTTCTTTAGTTATCAAATCAGAGGAAGTCTAAGCCGTGTACTACACTGTCGACTGTGATAAAACACGACGGGCATTTGAGAGCACGAGGAAAATGTAGAAAAAAGGGGGCGCTGGTGAGTGTTCTCTACACTTCTCGAGTGTTCTCAAATGCTCGTCGTGTTTTATCACAGTGTAATACACGGCTTAGCTTCTTCATTTGCTTTATGATATGGGCGAAAAACAATAAAACACGCTTTTTCTATCTTTTATACTCTGATAAAACATGGGTTTTTACCAATCAGAGCGCGCGCAGGGTTCTACCCATATTATAAAGACTATTAAAACACTTCGCCCCAAACAGGCTGGTTATGTTTTATTAGAAAATGTTGCTTTTAGGGTGTTTATGACAACGTTAATATAGCCGAACGATCAAAACAGGGGAAAAATTTTACAAACGCCAAAGCACTTCCAAGAGTACGTTCGGTAACCTTATAACTAACAGAGCCATTGTTGATACACACAATTATACTGGTAAAACTCTAACGTGGTACAGAGGCTTTCTGCCAGACTGCTATATTTGACCTTGTTTTAATTTCTTTTGTATCAAATCTCTTATGAGATATCAAATCTCTACCAGGCAAAGGAATCTTACAAAACGGTCGAAAATTTACAATTTTGCAGAAGTTTAGCAGTTCTCTTAGACTTGTTATTCTCTTGCTTGTTAGCAGCTGTTGTTGTTTTGGGGTTAGGGGCATTGTTTCTGTTGTTTGTTCTATTGTTCTCTCAAAGGGTATCAAGCCATTCATGTGAGACCTTACGAGAGCTGCGGCCCAAATTTTGGACAGAAAGTCTCGGAGTCATGTTAGAATTTTAATCTACCGAACATGGGCTAATTACTGAAGTTTCACGCACCACCTAAATACACACAACAGCTAGTGAGAGAATCTCAGATCATAAAGCCGAGTGCAATGTACAGTACTGACACATACTAATCATACAAGTCCCCATCCTGATCAGTCCAAAACGACTGTGGATCAGTTCAGGCTTTTCCACAAGAACGGAGTGTTTCACGCTAACGATACTAGAACGCATGCGTCCTACATCAGTGTTCTACCTACCACAAGGAAAAGCACACAAAGTTAATGTGTGATCCCGAATGTAATATATCTTCCACCTAATATACATATACAGTTGGCACTAACGAGAACAACCAAGTCTAATAAATTAAATGATATTTATTAATTAAACAAAACATTAAAGTTAGCACAATAGGGAATTAGCGGTTACTCCCGAAATCATCACAATAATGGACTCTAACAACAACAAATCGGATAACAAAAACCTTTGAGAGTGCACTCTACTTCAACAGGAACAAAACTGAGAAAAACTTGCCATCTTTTCGACCTGAGGAAACAACATGGCACAAACGAAAAAGACTGCTCGATTAGCAACAAGGTTGTTTAAAGAAATAACAGTCATTGTCATCGATTAGACAATTTTTGAATTAGCGAACAGCTGATACAATTATACCTATCCTTTCTGTGGCAAGTCACTCGTATTTTCTTCTGTATTTTGAAGGACACATTCCTGGTTACGAGTCATTTTCCAAGCATTCCTTATTAGCTTTTTGGTCATCACAAGGAGAACCAATGTCACTCAACGCTTCGCTATATTCCGAAAATGTTCGCTTAAGAGAAACACACTCTTCGCTGGCCTTTTCGCAGTCCACTTTAATACTCTCAACAACGCGAGCTTGTTCGTTAATTCTCGACTGCAGTGCAAGAGATTGTTCTTGAAGTTGGTGGATGTTTCCCTCGGTATTTTTAAGCTCTTCTAGCAATTCTTTCCTTCTATGCTCCAAGTTCTCTTTTCGAGAGGAAAGATTTTCCAGTTCTGTTCTCAGCTGCTGAAGGTTCTTATTAGCGATAGTCTCCCGCCTTTGTTTCTCTATCAGTTCTCTCTGGGCCCTGCGTAATTCAACACGGTTTTGTTCCTTTTTATCTTGAAGTCTGGCTACCAACATACTCGCTACGTCACTCTCCTGCCGAATAATCTTTGCCAGGCAGCTAGGCACGCCATTCTCATGTGCTAATGGTTGGTCTTTGCGTGCATTGCACGTGTTCTCCTCGGTGTCTGCACGTGCAGCTGCAGGTGCGTCCCCGGTTTCCTTCACTTGTGACTCAGATTCGGGGATTTGCACGGTATCGGAGCAGGAATTTGAATTGGCAGGTAAATTAGCCGACACGCCCTTTTCAGTACAACTTTTTTCGCAAGGAGCACCAGGGCAATTGCCGAGTTCTTCATTAACGTCTGTTTCTCTGACCTGAAGGCTTATCAAAACGCTGTTCTCCGCGATAACAACAGAAACACGACTATCCTGCCCATCTCCGTTCTGCCGAGGCACATTCTCTGAATCACAGTTGTTAGTGGATTGACTGTCGTTGGTTGACATGCTCTCAGTGTTTGTCGCGAGGCTTGCCGGAAAGTGCACTGACTGAGTACCGAGAAGAGGAGAGCGAGCTGTCTCGTCCTGAGAAACTTCATCTGAGATACAACTCCGAGGAGAAGAGGAGCAATAGAAACCTTCCCTCTGGAGAAAGGTACTTAAACGAAGTGAATAACCCGCGCCACGATCCTCCTTATTAACTTTACTCTGAGCATTGCCATCAACGGAATTACTGTTGCCAGCAATAGCTTCATTATGGTCAGCTTGGTCTAGATCCTGGGTGTAAAGTTGGTACAAGTCGCGTTGCTTTGGAGCTAGTTGTTCCACTCCTTGTCCTTCAGAAGCGAGTTCTTTCTCTACAAGGTCTGCTTCACGGTCGCGAGCGACATCGAGCGGGGTTGCTTTTTCATGGTTTTTTATTAACTTCTTTAAAACCTCTTTGTAATCTGACAGAAGGTATTTTACTGTGTTAATAGAGATATTGTTCCGCGCAAGTATGTGAAGAATAGTTTCGCCGCGATCATTTTTCGAATTGAGGGCCCTTTGCAGAGCTTCCGTGGGCAATTTCTCCATTGTCTGTAGTGCAGTGACGCGTTGAAGTAAAATTTTCATACAGTATTCGTAGTAATCTAGTTCACTACAAACAGATTCTTGCTGACTAATGCATAGCGCACACATGTGAAAAACAGAGTTTCCTTGCACTTTGTCCTTTAGGAACAATCCGTGAGGGTCTTGCTCAGTCAGGGTGTCAACAATCAAATTAAAGTTACTGCAAATAAAGTGCACAGACCTCGGCGTTATATCGCGACTTCTCACTTTATGTAGCAGTCTCAGAGCTCGGTGCAAACCTGTTTCGCCGGTTCGTTCGGCTGTAACAAATGCCTTAAATTTCATTTTCGTTAGAAGCCAGCTCAACACTTGAGTTTTGCCCAACACGCACGCCCACTGTACCAGAGGAAAGTGGAATTCTGGAAGGGCATCCGGGACATTACTTTGTGCATTCCAGCCGTCCTGTAGATGAGAGTAAAGCGCAACTTTAAGAGGAGCTAAATCTGCTGGTTTTCTGCCGTCTTCACTGCAGGCACTCAGAGCTAGGATCATTTCGTTGTGCCGGGCTGAACAGCTCTCAGGGCAGAACACCGTGTGTTCGAGTTTGACGTTACTTGCAGTCATTTTCAAGCGTCCTATAAGGTCAATAGCAAATACAATCAAGTTAGGGGCCTAAACCACAGTATTTAAGGTCTTTCTCTTCAGTTCGGTAAATCAAGCTCTAAACTTCAAATTACCAGAGAAAGAGTCACTTATTAGCAAACTCAAGACCACATAATAGTAAAAGAACAAGGATGATTTCCGAACATTATGACACTTTCGTACCGACTCAGGAAAACTTGACAATGTCGGGCCGACATTTTTTCAAGTTTACCCCAATACTATCCGTTTTAATATTCTCGTTTGCGCCACGCTTTTCTGTGCTTGTTTTCGGTTCTACAGTTTTCAGCTGTTATAGTGATATTCGGATAACAAGTACTCGCCCTGGATGAGATGCTAGTCCATCACATTCCTCCAGGTTGCCATAGCATTTCATGGCCACCCAAATAAACTCCTGCATGGAGAGAGATACTGGAATCCAGATTTTTCGAAACTCCAAGGGAAACATGTTTTGGAAAATCAGGAAGCTCTAGAAATCGGAGATAACATTACAGTATTCGACTGAGGAGAGAGAAACGACTTTTGGTTCGAGTTATCGGCAGATTCCAAAAATCGAGGTTTCCAGAAATCGGGATTCCACTGTATGCATGAAAAAGATTCTACTGTGTGTATGAAAAAGCCCGAAACATCCTCAGATTTTTAATGAGTGAAAAAAAAAAAACATTGCCACCAAATAAATACGAAATGTGAGATGTAGTAGCGGCCACCAGCCTCTCCTTACAGTCTTCGTTTCCACTAATCCATTTTGAACTGATAGGTTTTCAACAAATTCGCCCTCTTCATTACCGAAAAAAACATCGTTGAGATCGTAGTGACCCGAAATGTTTCTTCCAGCCTTCAGTGGCATCAAATCACCACTTTGAAAAAAACATTTCAATTTTCCCTACTTTTCTTCAAAATGTCATTTTTCCCTGACTTTGAAGATTTTTTTTTCCATGACCATTTCCTGGCCTGTAGCAACCCTGCGTTTGGGCCACTGCTCCTTCCAGACAACGATTTGCGTTGACAAATTTATACTCAACTATTTACACTTCTACTTTAGTAGTTATTAATTCTGTTAACAAAACTAGTTAACTTGAAAATAATGCCAATATGACAGTGAAACTTTTTTATTGTTGATATTGGTCTGAGATTAAAACCGAAATTTACGGTTTCGTTTGAAGTAAACTGTGGGGGGATTTGGGATTTGCAGCTCCCGAAAGGGAACCCCGGCTAAAACATTACGGAGACCCTTAGAGACTTCCCAGGGAATTGAACATAAACGAATGAATTCCAAGTCTTACTAATTTGACAGACGTTACTTGGAAAGATGCGTTGCTCGTTGTATTTGCTATGGGACAGATATGCCTAAAAACATTCAACAGATAGGGCCGACCTGCACCGTTTATAAGGTTCTTCATGATTGGCCAAATGAAACAATAGGTATACAACACAAACAATGCCCCTGGCCCTAACAACAAAAGAGGTGCAGATTAACAAGAACGAATCAAAAACAGAAGTTTTTAAAGAGGTGCAGGTCTAATAAACAAGTAACAGGAAACCCTCCTGGTTGCCACCAAAAACAACTAAGCATTCATAAAACAAATATGTATGATTGGTATGGAGAATGGTCACAGAGATGAAAGGTTTACCCATAATTAACAGAGAGGAATGGTTATGAAGCCAGCAAAAATCAAAGGAGGAAACAACGATGACAAGAATTACGTTGGAAGGTCCACAATCATGCACGATCTTTTGTTTTGCAGGCATACCTTATGGATGCATTACTTTTCTACTATTTAGTTTCTCAGTCAGTAGTAAACAACAATTATTGTGTTTTGTGCATGGTCAAGGCCAAGAGAGTAAACCAAAAAATTCAACAAAGAACTTTGTTTGGTTTCATAACCAATCCCCTCTATTAACTATGGGTTAAAGGAGCTGGCAGTACCCAAAAAAACAACAGGTAATTGTGTGTGCATACGACATTTCTGTAAGCTATGTGAAACAGGATACTACAACAATGAATAAACTGAACTTGGGAAAAAATACAAAACCTTTGAATGTTTCAACTTCATACAGTCTACATTTTAAGGCCAGACACCCAAAGGTTCAGTAATAAGACTGTTTTAGGGAGTGACAACCTTTTCATTATATGAAAGTTTAACATGGCTACATGACAACTACTGCTACCCTTTTCAAATAAACTGGAACAAAGGCCTCCCTTAGATTATTCACTCCCTATATCCAAGTCATCTGTTGACATCATCGCAGGGGACTGGAGAGAAAATTTTACTGCTGTATCTCATGAAACAGCGTGCTGCAACATCAAACAATTTACATGGTCGGCTGCTTTAATTTTTTTCACAATGCTGATTGGTTATTTTTTGAACAGGACTTCACCTGGTATTCACCCGGTAATTCTAAAAACTGGGGCAGCCCACTCTAAACTAACAGTGAATGAACACTTAAAAAGAAAATTCCAATTTACAGGGTTTCAACAAATGAGAAACCTATCAGTTTCTTGGTAGAGTTGGCCTCTATATTAACAGTTCTGAGTCTGATCTTGGCCAATGACATGTACTTATAGTGTTTTCTTGGGCAAGACAGTACTCTCTAAGTGCATCTCTTCACCCAGGTCAATAAATGGAGTAGAGGAAAATAGTTTGGCAACCTGAAAAAGTACCAGGGTGGAGAGTGAAGGGAGGTAACCTGAATGTGAATGGAAGTGAGTAGCAATACTCTTAAGGATAGTGTCTGCTGGTGTTAGTGAGTATGTGTTCTGAGCATCACACAATGCAACTAAGATATTTCAGTTCAAGATGGCTGGATAGCACTTTAAATCAAAATTATTTCACCTATTCATTTGTTTTTGTCAGTCTTCTGCTTTAGGATGAGTTTAAATGGTGCTACACTACAGAGAATTCTATGGAAGTCGCCTCACAACTCTAACAGAGATAAGTTATTGGATGCTACAAGTTCTGTAAAGGGTATTACACTGTGTGTACATGTATATACTCGTTAACATTAATTGCTGCAATGTTGCTTGCATTACTTTCTGCAACAATTAATGTAAGTATGGCATTTAGCCCAGAGTGCCCTACACTGCCAGAACTTATCCTAGTGCCTGAAGCATTATTGCTACACCTTGGATGATAATTTAAACCAGTATATTATGTTTTTAGACCTCATAATTAAGTTAAATTGCAAATTTGCACTCCTGGCCTTATGAAAAAAAATGTTGAGAGACAGCTCAGGGTATGTTATAATAGCTAATGTATCTTTTCCACCTCCCTGGGATTATCCCAGGGTCTCTCAGATAAAGATTGAATCTTTCAGTCTCCCATACAGATTACCGACTCATCTTATTACAAAGGAAAGTGCTTTCAGTACATTTTTCAGACTTATTTAAGCTGATTGGTTTTTGGCACCTTTATAGGATAAATTGTACATATCTAATGCATTTTTGAGGTTGAATCGGCCAAACACTACCTTTAAAATGTTTTTCAGGGGTAAGGAAAGTAAAAATTTCTGCGTATGTTCTAAACATTTTTGCCAATGTTCTACATATCATGACAAAATTGCAAGATACCTGGTTAAGAAACATTACCTACTGAAACACTGCATTTAAACTAGGCAGTTTAAAAGTTTATGTGTACTGGAGGTCACTTAGTAAAGAATCACCATCAACTAAAAATTAAATAAACAAACACATATTACTGACAGAGCTTATCTTTGTTATGCTATACCATTGTAGGTCTCTCCCCAAATCTTTCTTCCCCAAAACACCCACACCAGTACACTTTTTTAAGGTTCCGCATTTGAACTAGACAGTTTAGACATGAACTGTACTGAAAGTCACTTAGCAGTGGAGCTCCTAAGTGCCCAAGGCCTGCAAGCAGAGCCCCATACCTTAAAAACATATTAACCCATCAAGCTACAAATTATTTAGTTGCCGTGTGATTGTCCGTGCATCTGCCATATGTGCGTATATACGTACGCCACTTGTACTGACCACTTGCAATCAAATTGGCCTTAAAATGGAAAGAAATACCAAACAATGTTTAAGAGGCAACGCAGAGAAAACTCACGGTGAAGAGAGTCATAAAAATCTTGCCAATGAACAATACCTGGATTTTTCTTTTCTTTGATGGCAACTATGTTTTGAAAAGAGATTGCTGATTTAATGCCACTTTCAGGCTTTAGAAGACAAATTGGGAATATTCAGTATTGCTTCAAAGTTGGAATTGATTTTTTTAAGGACTGGTTAAACTTCAGCTGAGAAAATGAGAGCCAAGCCATCAGCAAAAATAAAATTAACATCACACTTCAGTGTGAATATTTTACTTTTATAGGCTGAATGAAAAACTGCAATAAAAAATTTTGGATGTTTTTTTTTCTGCTTTTAAATGCTTTTTTTGGCTTTATCTTGGATAATAATCATTCTTAAACAAAGATTTATTAACATCTCTTTCATTTACCTGCCTTTCGTTGAGAATTTTATGCTTTTAAAGTGACCAAGAACTTCTATTTGCCACTCAAATGTACTGATTTGCATATTGTGTTTATGGAGATCTCCTTGTTTTGTTTGTTCAATTCATTCGTTTTGATGAAATGCTTATTGGTGAATTTATTTAATGGTTACTGTTTCGAGTAAATGATTGGCACTTTATGGGAACATCGCTTATAAGCTTGGCTTAATCTTTATAAGCTTATAAAAGAATCACATTTGACTCAAAAACGTAAAAAGTGCTGTCACAGTTCAAGAATTATTCAAAGAAATCCTTGATCAAGAACTTGACACAACCGCTTAACAGGCTTGAAATTTAACATGAACATAGTTGATTCGTCTGCCTTTTACAAAACCATGTAAACCATTCCATCAATAGAAGACTCACTTACTAATGATTGACTTATAAGCGATCATAAAAGCACAGAAACCAAACCTAATTGTACGAAAAAATCTGGGGCAAATCCATAATCAAGAAATAAAGAAATTCCCAAACAACTTGGCCGGAATACATGAGCTAAAATTCATACACATATACTAAACTACTGCAGCTTTTTTCAGATGTAAACACTCCATTTCATCACCACACAAATGTCTGAAACTATTGCAAAACTTGCCTTTGACTGATGTGTCAATGATGCGCTGTTCTCAACATAATTAGACGCCATATTGATACGTCCACGACAGTGTTACCGCGAGGAGTCTGGATCAGAACAATATATTCCTCATTCTCGTCCCCAGAGTTCCCGCTCGCATTGTCGCGAGGTGAAAATTAAACCCTTGATTTGATTGCTTAGATTATTGTACTTTCACTAACGCTGGCTTCATTCCCGAAAATATCCACTGGCCCATCTTTAACGAAAACAATTCGAACTGTTATGAGAAAGGTTACCTTATGGCAAGAGCGTCAATGCCGTGAGGTGTTATAGAATTGTTCACTTTGGCGGAATCGAAGGGGAACGTTTTTACCCATGTCACACATACCAACAATTTTTCGTATCATTGATATAAACAAAAAACCCTTCATAGCTGAAATATTATGCCGAATTAGTATACAGGGGAAGCTGCAAGAGAATCTGTTAGAAATTTACAAAATATGGGACCCAAAACTTGCCAATTTTTGGTGAGGGGAGGGGGAACCGTGTTTATCTCTAATTGCCATGGATGGCCTCCTGAATGAAACAGAACTTGTAAGGACGCCTCAAAGTCACAGTACCTTAAGGCTAATAACGTAAAAGTTTATCAGATAGACAGGAAAGCTTTCCTATGTCTTGTGTCTTTCCTATCATGAGATGGCTGGAGTTCACTGTTCCTCTGGAGCAATTTGACCGCAACGAGAATGAAAGGATCGGTCGCTTCTGGATGCGGAAACTCAGCAAACCAACTACCGGGAGGAATGCTCTGCTGTAATTGAGGCTCTAAAAGCTTACTGTAAACATTTAAAGCGGGGAAGGAGGAATTCAGGGACTGGACCGTCCCCGACGGGGTTTATCTCTCTCTCCTTTGACAAAGACATTTCTGTAAGTATACTTTACAAAATATTTTCAGTATTTATTTCGTCCCAGATCCTGCTTTTCTTATGGTCAGCTCAAAGAAAGCGGACTCAGGCTGGTCAGATTGTTTGAATATGCGCAGAGTGCCTATTTTCAATTGTCAGCCAATTAGCAACCAGGAGAAACCATTTATCGTGAACATATGTTTCAAATTGTAACTGGCCACACTCCGAGTTCCTGGTGCTTACCAAAACAGAGAAAGATTTTGGAGACAAGATTTGTGTTTTAGTACATATCGTCATATAAGCAATGAATCAGGCAGAAGTCAAGACTAAGTGTATTTTTTATGATAATTAGCGCTATATAAATTAAATTATTATTATCATTATTATTATTATTATTATTATTATTATTATGAAACCCATAGTTATATTTTAACACTATTTCCTACCATTTTAAACTAAATCTAAAAACGTCTGAAGCACGGTAGTCCCGTTACCTGTAAGTGATGGCATGGCATGCATTTTTATTTATTTATTTAATTTTTTATTTTTTGTTTTATTTTTATGTAGGACATTTGGGTCAGATAACGGACTTAGACAAGTGGACAAAAACTAAATGGAAGATTACCATCGACAGGATATCGATCAAGACACCGCATGTGACCCGGCACGGGACATTTGGTGAATATGCCCGACTTATAAGGAACATGTCCATACCAATGTCCTGTGTCGTACCAGTGTTCCACGTGCCGGTAAATGCATGTTAGGCCCATATCAATTGCGCGTAGAAAGTCCCGGATTGCGCATTGCAGTCACCCAGTGCCCGGCGAACATTACTTTCGTCGGCTGCTGACCGCTCGCTACAAGTAACTCAGACTCTAGCATGGCCTTGCCAAACATATCCACTTTCCATCCATTTTTGCACAAAAGAAAACTGCCCCAAGTTTTTCTGCCATCCGTACAGCACTCCGTTCCTCGTTCATCTACAAATTCAAAGCCCGCTGCTTCGAAGTTTGGACGAAACCTTTGAATTGCAGTGTAGTTCTCTGATAGAAATTTGATATCAGCATCACATTCCCATGGTAACACTTTGCTGAACTTAACAGCACCTGAAAAAGAATGAACATTAATGAATGTCGGTTTGCGAATCGACTTAATTCGACACCGGAAGTCGAGTAGTAAAGTTTATCCAGAGCCTCAACACACGAACAGACAAAATGGATAAATGAATAGCACGCCATGTCTCTATCCCTGAGAAAGGTGAATAATAATTAAGCCATTAATTACTAATTATAAGAGGGTCGTAGACCCGAAGTATAATTAGGATTATACGAGAATAAACGAGACGAATATAACAATGTATTCCGCCTTTATTGTGTATTGCCTTTATTGCTTCAAAATAAAACAGCGAAATTCAAAGAATACATCCAAAAAAGGAAAAAACATCAACGTCATAAGGCATCCGGGACCTCACACTGAGAGCCCCTCTATCGCCCAGGGCCACCCCAAAGTATCGCCTTTTTGCTCAGCGACCAAGACCTGAAACAGAACAATAACAATGACATTAGAAAACAAAAGGGGTGGGAAAAAAGGGTGCGGAATACATTGTTATATTCGTCTCGTTTATTCTGGTGTAATCCTAATTATACTTCGGGTCTACGAC